ACCACAGTTTAAGTTCAATTTGTTGTCAGTAAGTGCATTGACTATTGGATCTCATATCAGTGTGCAATTTTTCTATGATCAGTTCATAATCTGGGAAGTTTCCACCACGAAGATGATTGGCAAGGGTAGCATCCTACAAGGCCTATATATACTGAACACGAAAACCTTTACTTCTGTTTCAAATGTTTTTGTTAATTCAGTTTCTGCTCGTATATGGCACAATCGTCTTGGTCATCTTTCATTCAAGAAATTAGATGTGCTGAAAGATCGATTGCTGTATGATTCTGATTTTTCTAATAAACACTTACCTTGTTATATCTGCCTTCTGGCAAAACAGAGGAGGTTGCCTTTTGATTCTCACAATCATGTTTCAAGTAAGGTATTTGACTTAGTCCATTGTGATATATGGGGTCCATATCACGTGCCCTCACATTCTGGCTATAGGTATTTTCTAACATTAGTGGAAGATCATTCTCGATTCACCTGGATATATATGCTGAAACAGAAGTCTAATGCTATAAGGATTGTTCCACAATTTTTTCATTTGGTCACTACTCAGTTCAATGCTTCCATTAAAGCTTTCAGATCGGACAATGCCAATGAATTATCATTCAAAGAATTCTTTGCTGAAAAGGGAGTTATTCATCAGTTCAGTTGCGTTGAAAGGCCCCAACAGAATTCGGTTGTTGAGCGCAAGCACCAGCATATTCTCAATGTAGCCCGTGCTCTTTTTTTTCAATCTCACGTTCCAATTCGTTTTTGGTCTGACTGTGTGCTTACAGCTGTACATCTTATCAACAGAACTCCTGCTCCCATTCTACATCACAAGACTCCTTTTGAGTTGCTATATGGGAACATGGCAGATTACTCTTATTTCAAGGTTTTTGGTTGTCTCGCTTTTTCTTCCACTCTTAGTGCTCATAGAACAAAATTTCAACCTAGGGCCAGAACCCGTGTCTTCTTAGGGTATCCTCCAGGAGTTAAGGGTTTTAGACTCCTTGATGTTGTTTCTAAACAAATTTTTGTTTCTAGGTACGTCATTTTTCACGAAGACATATTCCCTTTTCACTCCATTACTGGTGATCATCAGTTATCTGATCCATTTCTTGATCTTGTTTTACCATCTTCTTCATTATCCATACCACAAGATGTGTCTTATACTTCATCTTTTCCATCATCTTCTCCTCCCATTCTTGATGATCTTGCTGCTCCACCTTCCATCCCTGATGATATTCCTGCTCCTGTCATTGTTGATAATTCTCAGTCCAATGTTTCCTCTCCTTCTATAATTCGAAAATCTCAGAGAGTCTCTAGGCCTCCATCTTGCCTTCGAGATTTTCACTGTAACCTACTTTCCTCTATTCCTAGATCATCTTATATTCCTTCCAATCACATTGGGAATTACTTATCTTATGACACTATTTCCAAATCCCATCGACATCTTATAATGAACATTACATCTCATTCTGAACCACAATATTTCAGTCATGCAGTCAAGTTTCCTTAATGGCGAGAAGCCATGAAAAATGAATTAGAAGCTTTGGAACAAAACAACACCTAGTCTATTGTCACTTTACCTGCTGGGAAACGTCCAGTGGGGTGCAAATGGGTCTATAAAAACAAGTACAATTCTGATGGCACTTTGGAAAGACACAAGGCTCGTTTTGTTGCGAAAGGATTCACACAGCAAGAAGGTTTGGACTATTTCGACACTTTTTCACCAGTGGCTAAGGCAGTTACTGTTAAGATTTTGCTTACTCTTGCGGCTTCTCAAAACTGGCAATTGATTCAGCTTGACGTCAACAACGCTTTTCTAAATGGCGATCTATCTGAGGAGGTTTATATGGATTTACCTCTTGGCTATGATCTTCTTAAGCCTCTCACACAGGGGGCGAATTTGGCCTGCAAGTTACATAAATCATTATACGATCTTAAGCAAGCTTCAAGACAGTGGAATTCCAAGTTTTCCAGTACTCTGATTCACAATGGTTTTGTCCAATCCAAAGCGGATTATTCTCTATTTACCAAGGGTTCATGCAATGATTTTATCGGTTTATTAGTCTATGTTGATGACATAGTCATCACTGACCCGAACATAAAAGTTCTTAATGGTTTGAAAGACTTCTTACATTCTCAGTTCAAGCTTAAGGATTTGGGGTGTTTAAAGTACTTTTTGGGAATTGAAATTGCTCGAGCTTCTTCGGGGATAGTCATTTCACAGAGGAATTATGCTTTACAATTGGTTGAAGATGCTGGTTTTTTAGATTGTAAACCTGCCAATAGTCCAATGGATTCAAGACTTAAACTCAGTCTACATGAAGGAGATTTGTTGGCAGACGCATCTCAATACAGGAAACTGATTGGGAGGTTGATATATTTGACTCTCACCAGGCCAGACATTACATTCACAGTTCACAAATTAAGTCAATATATGTCTCAACCTAGGCTTCCCCATCTTAAAGCTGTTTACCACCTACTCCGTTACCTAAAAGGAAGTCCTGGCCAAGGCATTTCTTTTTCTTCAGCTCCTGTAACTTCTGTCCAGATTCGAGCATTTTCAGATGTTGACTGGGGTTCTTGCCTAGATACCCGTAAGTCTACTACTGGATTCTGTGTTTTTGTTGACGATTCCATGGTCTCCTGGAAGTGTAAGCGCCAACCTACCATCTCTCGTTCATCTACTGAGGCCGAATATAGGGCCCTCGCAGCTACCACCAGTGAAATTATATGAATCAAGCAGCTGTTGGCAGCCAATCTTCCAGTCGTCATATATTGTGATAATCTTGCTACTTTACAGATTGCTAATAATCCAATTTTCCACGAACAAACAAAACATATAGAGATCGACTGTCATTTTATTTGTGACAAACTTGCAGCTGGAGCAGTTAAGGTGCTTCCCATTCAGTCTTAGCATCAGCTCGCAGACGCTTTCACAAAGCCTTTACCTGCGTCTGTTCTTGCTCCTTTGTTGTCCAAGATGTGTGTGAAAAACATTCATCGCACATCTTGAGGGGGCGTATTATGACCATATAGTTGAGTTAGTTGTATTAGTTTGCCAGCTGTAATTTTCTTTCCCGCCTTTTTCCTTTTTCTACTATTTAATATATTGGTTTTCCCCTTTTTAGTTTGAGATGAATAAAACTTCTTTTATTCAATTCTTCAATTGTAATAATTGTATGTCCCTTCCTAATTTTATACTTATTCGTTTATTATTAATAACATTACACACTCACCTAATTTTATATTTATACTTCCATTTGTAATTTAATACCCTTGCTATTTCTGTTTTTTCTTGCATTTAAAATTCGTCAAGGATCAGGTCAGGAGAATTTGGACTTGGTACCTTGTTCATGAATGCCTTTAACCGTCTAACAATTCTATCGAAACTAGCCTTAGTTCCCTATTCCCTGAATACATCTTCCCATGTTGCATCATGCCTTCACGCATCAATGTACCTTGAATACTTGAGTACGTAATTTACATCTATTTTAACACGATCAATTGATATGTTTCATAATAGAGAGAAACCAAGTTTAAGAAAGAGACTGCGGATTCATAGATGATGGACCGTTTGACGTGACATTGGCTCGATTACAAAGAAATAACAAACACTACGGACCGTTTGACGTGACATTTGAAAAGTCAAAAAGAACTTTTGATATTCAAAATTTGCCTTTTGACTCGTTTGATTAATTTTATAAAAGCGCTTCTTCTAATTAAAAGAATGTTTAGGGAAGTTAACGTAATGTGACATCCTCAAAAACTCTTCCATAAGAGAAATCTTTTTCAGAAATTAGTATTTAAACTCCAATTAAGGTAACTCTCTCAAGAAACTTTTCTACAATAAGTAAAAGCATGTCAACCAAGCCCTACAATTGTTTTTTTTTAATGCAATTTAATCTTATTCAATGCAACGTAGCACATCTCTTTTTCGACTATGAATGACCAATTTTTGAATATCAAAAGGATCTCCACGGAGGTCATTTTTATTGTGATCGATTTTCCCCCTTCTATAATTAGTTTCAATAGCTCCTCTAGGTGAGATATTTATATTATGTATACTTCAGTGTTCTAAAAAGTTCGTTTA